TCTATTTTAATATATAAAAACAACAACAACAAAAAACTTCTTGCATTTGGGCATTTTAGTGTAACAGGACTAGGACAGAGCTACGTTCATCTTAATGAGGCTCTCATGACAAACATCAACAAAGAGTGCTGGAAACACAACTAAACTGAAGCTTGGAAGATTATGCATACTATATGCAATCAGGAATCCTTCATTCCAAGCAAGCAAGGACTCCAAGAAGTGCAATTCTAGGGAAGGTTCCATATGTTAAATTTCCACAATAGATTGCTGCTTACAAAAAAAAAATACAAGAATATAAACACAATATTTTACTTTCATTCTTTACACGCTAACCAAAAAAAAATAAAAAAATCAATACTGTTTAATTTTCTACTGTACAAGCAAGCCCCAATGCATATAACGTCCTGGGTGACCGGACAAGTTGAAAAACATTGCATAGAGTCAAAGATCTAAAATAAAAAAATATGAATAAAAACACGAGATAAGGCACAGGTTGTTTTCCTAGTGCTTGGAAAGACGGTCACAATATCAATGTAATGTTTGGCTTCCCAGGCGGACAAGGAGAAACAAGCAAGCACAATATTTATATATTAGAAAACTTTACTTTCCTTACCGCAAGCCGTTTTACTTTATACCTTGTGTTGTTCAAACGTGGCTAAATGAACACAATCTATACAGGAGGAGGGATTTCACTGGGACGAGTAGGTTAACATATTAAAGCTAAACAATTTGGGGTTTAATTTTTAAGAATGCAAATGGTCAATGGGATATTTTTTTCTTCTTTATCTGAATGAGGAGCAAAGAAATTGAGCAGAATTCTCTGCCGCAGGTTTGTCTGTCTGTGGCTAAATCAAGCCTGCTGGAGTCACGGCATTTTGCCAAATTAGTGCAATCTGAAAACAGATTATCGGGCTATGTGTGGTTTTGTCCCCTGGCAAGTATGACTTTTATATATCCTGTTGGGTTTTTTTTTACCCCAAAATCCTAGTTATCTACATTCCGGAACTGCAAATTTTGTCAATTTTGTAATTTGCCACAATATACTAAAAATGTTAGTTGCTTGGCTGTCCCTGGCATCAACACTCTGATTTTAGACCGCTCTGCATGCTTAAGCTGGCCATACATGGCTTAGATTTTCGAAAGATCTTTTGTTCCAACTTTAGTAGTTGATGGGGTTCAGGGGCTTTTAAACCCTCAAGTTTTTTTTTGCATATATCTATTGCTAGCAAGCAGTAGATATATGCAAAACCTTAAAAAACAAAAGCCTTTTCAAACAGGTTTAAACTTACCTGTGTCTTCGCTGCGCGCTCCTGTCAGAACAGATCATTGGTTCGACCTCATCTGGAGTACGCGGTCCAGTTCTGGTCACCAGTACTAAGAAAAGATGTCCTTGAGTTGGAAAAAGTCCAGCGGAGGGCAACCAAACTAATTAGGGGTATGGAGGACCAGAGCTACGAGACAAGGCTACTAAATTTAAACATGTTCACATTGGAGGTGAGGAGATTGAGGGGGGATATGATCTCCATGTACAAAATGTTCAATGGTGGCAGCAACATTAGCGATAAACTGTTTAAAATTAACTCCATTACAAAAACTAGAGGCCACCACCTAAAATTGGTGGAAAAAAAATTCCAGCACAAGGGGCGAAGGGGGTTCTTCACAGTAAGATCAGTTAGGGTCTGGAACTCACTGCCACAGACAGTGATTTCAGCAAAGAATGTGGAATTGTTCAAGAAACTTTTGGACGATTTCTTAAGGGACCGTAATATACAGGGGTACAGGTACTCCTAGAATGAGATCCTAATAGGTTGGACTTGATGGACTAATGTCTTTATTCAACCTCAAATACTATGTAACTATGTAACATCTGAAGAGTCTCGGGCGGCCGCAAAGGATATTGGGACGGGCGCATGCGCAGTTCAGATGTTCGGCCGGGAGACACAAGGTAAGTCTATGGAGCAGCGTGCACCCGCACAGACTCCGTGGGACATGAGAGAATAGGAGGACAGAGGAGTCAGCGCTGGATTGGAGACCCGCACCAGCACTGGAGGGACAGCTGAAAAGGACAGTAAAGAAGAAGATGATCGGATTAAGAGGCATCATTTAAGGTAAGTTCTTACATTAGCATTGTGGGGGGGGGGGGGCACTTTTGACTTTAATGACACTTTAAACTGATGATCGATTTCGACCGCAGTGACGAAAAAGCTTGAAGGAGCAGGATGGCACATGTTTCTCGAACAAACGAAATTCTAACAGTGAATGAGGAAATTTCAGAATTTCGGGAAACTCCATTCATTACAAAATCTAACTTTAAGATCAAACGAAATTTAAACTGACATTCGTCAAGTGTCTGACAGCATTATCGGGTAGTAAAATGTTTGTTTGGAAGTCTAAGAGTGTACGGCCAGCTTAAGTGATCAGAGAGTAATAAAGGCAGAGGATTGACATGACCACCAAGGAAGAAGCATTTTCAGAAGCAATAGCAGCCTGTTTTCTTTTCATGATGGGTTTTCATAAATGACTCCCAATGCAGTGGCCGTCAGAAACCGTTAAACATTAAATTCACAAATTCTTAATTAGCTGCACACATTCCAGCACAAAGCTTACTTGGTAGATTTAAACTGCAAGATTTCACAAAACATTTTGAAAATTATTTTCAATAAAGAAACATTTTAGTGATTCACTAATAACAGAAGATGACTGGAAAGGTGCAAATGCCCCCCTGGGTTTGGCAGAGGGTGATTTTGCCTCATTGCAGTATTGCACTATGCATTGTCACTGTATAAGGAGCCTGTAGAGCTGCTTCATTGATAGCAAAGGCCCATACATACACCTATTTCAGAGTTTCCTACAGCGCTGCAGGGCAGAAACTCTTAGGAATGGCTGTCCTCCAGAAGGATAGATCTGCTGAACCATCACAGCCGCTATTTCTTCAGTATTTCCAAAAATTCACTACTACATATACATGTAACTGCCGATCAAGCACCATAAGTCACACAGCTTTTACTGTTCCTTGGGCTGCTAGCAGCCAATCTGGTTTATGTCCACCAAATGCAGACTTCTTTTTCTGATGGCAAATGCAAAATGCTAAAATATTAGCTTAAAGAATAATTAGTGTTGATTGCATTTCTCCCAAAGTACACTGTAGACAAATGTATTCAGCAGCTGCCTGCATTTAAATACTCTACAGATGATATATTAAAACACTGAGCGCTTAAGCATTCTTCACTCTTCATTCATTGGCAGAAAGCTTGTTCAGAACAACCAGTCCATCATTCACCAGTAACAGGACATTAGAGGACTTTAAACTAGACAAATAGAAATTATTTTGCCTTTAATGAGCAATCAGATGCAATTAGACTGGTTCCAACCATTGCTTTACCAAAACCAGTTGCCATACCTGAGCGACGACCAGCATTTTTAAAACATTTACAAGCTTGTCCCAAGAAGCCATAATAGCAATCAGATGTCAGCTTGCATTAGCATGCTAACCATATCCTCTCCATAATGTAGAAAATATGCTACACCTGGACTTCCCAATATTTACCTGGTTAATACCGCATGGGCTTAGTCAGTTTTGGGGTTAGGGTTTGTTTAAATGTCAGATGAGTGCACTCAGCGACATGTATATCCTGAACAAATATTCTATATCTTATGAAATAGGTTATGTTGGACAAGGAAATAATGACCTTGCTGCACTCAATGCAATAAACGGATTCAATTATTCACTACTTGCCATAGAAAAGAATTGTTTGTACCAAATTATTTTTAAGCACTAATTTATATTAAGTGTTTTTCTGACTTAATTGTTATAAAGGGGAAGGGTCATCTACTGTAAACCAAGGGGGTCTACAAATAAATGTGGTAAGCTAGCTTCAGTAGGTTGTTAATAGAAAACATGAATCACTGAAAAGATACATTATAATGAGTATTAATGGGTATGTAGGCATGGAAGGTAGGAGACAGCATTTATGACCATATGTACACATATATTAATCAAATATTCTAAACAAACCAGTGAGACCGACAGTGATCCAATCCAAGAATCAACAACTGTCTGGATCCATTGAGTCACCATATGTAGGAGAACCTATCACTTGGCCAAATAATTGGATATGCAACCAAAAAGGTTGCTGCATTACATTGGGCTAAGAGGTAAACAATTAAATACTGGGAATCCATGCTTTAAAAGCTGATTTTAAACATTGTATCTGCTTAAGGTCTGTGTTCAGACAGTGCACTCTGCTTCCATATAATAAGAGTAAATGAGTGAAATGATTAAAGTGCAGGTCCTGCGCTATAAAACACACACACTTCTGTTTCTCTGCATTGCATGTCAATTTTGAGAAAGGAATTCCGCAGAATGTGCAACATTGTGCGTTTTCTGAAGGAAAGAGATGACCTGGGATTTGAAGAGGCAAGGGGACATTTAAGTGTTCCCTGTCTTGGCTGATACTGAAGAGAAATGAGCCAGCTGTGTATTCCTAACACACTCCTTACCGGTCTGTTCCAATAATAATGGGTGCTCGCAATGACTGCAGATGGTGCCGCTCCAGATAGAAAGTCTTAATGATTTTTGTCAATAAAGTGGATTTACACTAACGTGAATCTCTAGGATTGGAGTGCTGGTGACAAACTTTACATCAGCTTTGTATTCCTAACCAATGCCAATCAGACTTCATCCTCAGTGAAGCTTTGCGTGGGGGTCAAAAACAGACCCCCGATTTCTCCATGAATTCATACAGGCTCAGTTAGATGCAGATCATGGTCTGAATAGCAGCATTAGGCAGGATTGTACTGCTTTCAATGCTGGCTATGTTCTCATGAAGAACCTTCAAGCTTCACAAGTACATGGTGCTCTGTCTAACCAAATCCCATTTCTGAGTTATCTCCATTACGCACAAATATTCTGTAAGGGAATATCCTAAAATGAATATAAAATCATTTATGAAGTGCTCTTTTTTTATGGGTTACAACATTTATATTTTCAGGGACCATGGGCATTCAGATGTAGCTACACCCCATTTCATAAGCATAGCTCTAAAACCACATCACTTATGTGGAGATGATGCGTGAGGACAAATATGCACATTGACATACAAAATATGACCTAAGGTTCATCAATGAACCTTACACGGTGAATGGAAATGCCACTTTAAGTGCTTCTGTTACTCTTTTTTTCCTATTGTAGAAGTCAAAATTATAAAAGGTAAGCAAATTTTATATAAAATGATATATCATGCCATAGTACTCAAAGGGTTTAAGTGCTGTATTAAGAAAAATTTTGATTGTACAGCAGTAGAGGTAAATAAAATGTTGCCTTATCTTGTTGCTTATGATGCTATATATTACAGAACTGGATAGCAAAAATACGATGACGTAAAATTTCACTGAAAATAACATGAACTTTGAATAATAAAAGGGAAAAGCAGAGCCGTTCTGCTTAATTCCATAATATGCTCTTTCTACTTCCATGTATGGCCCGGCCAGCCCTGTCCAATGTGTAAGCCACTGGGGGGGGGGGCTACAAAGTGCAAATAGCCCAAATAAACTCTTTATGATGTAATGTGGCTCTTAAAGCATGTTCAGCATTAAGTCTTCTTTTATTGAGGCCAATAGAAGCACATTTTACAGTGCGCACAAAGGCTGTTCTCCTCACATGAATCCACTTGACGGCATGTCTGGGAAAAGCTTGGAGCTTTCAGGGAGATGATGGGATGGTATATGTTGAGCAGTCTGGGTGCTGTTTACCATTTCCATTGGTGTGGTATAGGTTTCATTTAGGTTTCCTCCCACAAACCCATTCTGGAACTGCTGAAGTGAAAAAAAAAGACAAAGCAAACACATTAATATGCATGATATCCAACAAACATAAAGGGAAGATTTGTAAAAACACAGCCTTCCATTTGTCAAGAGGCAAATCAGATAGTATATCTAGAAGGGAGTGATGTTGTAATGGTACATGTCTGGTAAGAACAGAGTTCATCTGTTGGTGTAAAACTGATGTAAATATAAAGACACAAACAAGCTGAAAGGACATGGAGGAGTTTCCGTACATTCAATAACTTTACTCAGTGATATACAATTGTGATCACTAAATAACGCACACTAAGGCACTGCCAAGTTAAAAAAAAGCAAGAACACTCTAACATATCTCAAGAGCAAAAATCTGACATATTGAGGCTTAAAAGCCCTTAGATGTGGTGGCTGCATTCGTTTTTTTTTTGTCATCTGGTCTTCCTGCCAGTCCTTCTTTCCTCGGATGACAACACTCGCTTACAGTACTTTATGGAAGAGCAGCATTGTCACCCTAGGACAGGAAATGTGTCAGGACTACATAACTCTTCCCACTCTCTACATCTCGATAACACAGGGGTGAGATGCTCTGTGGTCCACAGAGGTAACCTGGGCAGCAAGAGAAGGCTGCTTGAGATAACACTGGAGTGCAAAAAAAGTTAGCAACTCACTGGATTTCTGACATCAACAGGGCACGTATTGAACAGATGCAACAAAACACTGTATAAGGTATATTTCATAGACCAAAAGGGAGAAAATAAGAGAATTTCATTGTTTGAGTTTACATACACTTTAAAAAGAATCCTAATTTATTAGGTATTTAAATTCAATATTTAGCTGTGAAATTGACCCTGTCAGCACACTGGAATGCAAAAAAATACCTGCAGATAGAAGACAAAATATATTCACATCCATTTGGCTACCCTTTCTTTTTTTTTGCAAAGCCGCTGTTTAACCGTTTACCATACTCTGCAAGTATTTACACACTTCTGGGTGTGAGTAAGCTGCTACCCTACTGCTGGCTGTGATTTCTCACTACAGGACGTACAAGCTGGTGGGCAGAACCACAGCAAGCAGCGAGGGAAGTGAGCATTTGACCCATTGTATACCTGCAGAGGGAGGTTAGCACTGAAAAGGCTGCTTTTCAAGAAACAGGCCATTTGCAGTCTTCATTTTGCAGGTATGTTTTACATACACGTGACCCTGAATCTTTACACCCAGCTTTAAATGTATGTTGCTGAGGAAGTTAGTTGAGTCAGGTATTCAATAAAAACAGCATTAATGTAATGCGTAGGATGAAATATGCATAAGCAGTGGTTACCTTTATTGTAAACCTTAAAGTGACATTAACCACCTGCTGTCCGGCCGTTGTAATTAAACGGCCGGACAGCGGCCTCTTGAATGCGGGTGGGCGTTTTTAAACGTCCCATCCCGCCCCGTTCGTGCCCGCTGCTAGGCGGCACGCGTGAACGGGAAATCAGCTTTGAATGTAAACAGCGTGGTTAAAGGCATTTTTTTTCCCCTCACCCCAACGTTAATTAAAGCACTTACCTTAAATGATGTCTCTTAATCCGATCATCTTCTTCGTTCCTGCTGTTTTCAGCCTTCTCTCCAGCGCTGCGGCGGGTGTCTGATCCAGCGCTGACTCCTCTGGGCTTGCTGGCACTTCCTGTCCCACGGTGTCTGCATGCGTCCATAGACTTACCTTGCGTCCCTCCTCGCGTCCCGGCTGAAAATGTGAACTGCGCCTGCGCCCGCCCCAAGATCTTTTGTGGCCGCCCGAGAATTTTCACATTTTCGGATGGGAGCGCGCGGGGATGACACAGGTAAGTTTAAACCACTGTTAAAGCGTTTATAAAAAAACGTTTTGCATATATCTACTGCTTGCTAGCAGTAGATATATTCAAAAAAATGGAGGGTTTAGAGACCCTTTAACTATTAACAAAAATGTATCTTATTTGTGTATCACTGACACTGACACTGTCCTTCCTTCTGGAGGGGGCCACTACTCCAAGTTCACTCCAGTGATGGACTAATCTCCTGTTTAGTTTACTTTCTTGTTTTGAGATTGTTGTCCATCACGGGAGCGAGCTTGGAGCGGTGACTACTTTACAACACACACAGGGACCATGGTGAACAAAAGTAGCCCCCCTCCAGAAGGAAGGACAGTGTCAGTGTCAGTGATACACAAATAAGATACATTTTTGTTAATAGTTAAGATGCTTGAATGCATTTTTAAGATTTAACTCCTGAGTTTAGTGTCACTTTAAAACAAAATGATTAGTAGATTCAGAGAAACACATAGCTGAATTTACATGAAAATGTCAACATGTTCTATAAAAGTCAAGTTTAGCACTACCCCTCCTGCCTTTCAAGCCTCCCTACTGGTAATACAGCCTTTTATATATATATTAAAGGTCAACAGAGAGATTCTGGGGGTGGAGGAGCTATGCTCTGCTTTTAAAGGAACAGCCAAGATGCGCATTTCACCCAAGCTGCCTGTATATTTGGAACTACTGGTAGTTTTCACTTTCACTGACGGTGACTTAAACTTATGCATTTTTTTTCATCATTATTTCAATATGAGTTATTGAAATAATTGGATTCCACCCAAGGGTATGCCAGGACACTAAGGGGAAGGGCTTTCAAAAAATGCTAAGAGCTCTCTTATTAAGTATAAAACGTTAAAATTACATTAGTATAAAATGATTTTTAAATAATTACATTTTTTTTTATACTTAATAAGAGAGCTCTTAGCATTTTTTGAAAGCCCTTCCCCTAAGGGTCCTGGCATACCCTTGGGTGGAATCCATTTATTTCAATAGCTAATATTTATCAAATGGGTGTGAAATCGCGCTCTCTTATACACTTTTAGGTTAAAGTACACGCCCACTAAAATGTGTTTCTAATTATTTCAATATGAGTTGATGGATTTTGACTAGGGATGCACGGATACCGGTTTTTCGTTATGGAGTACGAGTAACAATATTTATATTTCGGTACACATTGATACTTCCGGTAGCATAAAGCCAGCTTCTCGGGCAATCAGGAAGCCGGGCAGCGTGCCATGCTGTTTGGCCGGCTCGATGCTGATTGGCCAGGAAGCCGCCATCCCAGCCAAACAGCATGGAGTGGGCTTCCCGGCCAATCAGTAAGCCGAGTCGCAGGTAATGACCCGCCTTCCCAGCCAATCAGCATGGAGCCAGCTGTTTGGCTGGCTCCATGCTAATTGGCTGGGAAGCCGGCTTTCTGGCCAATCAGCATCGGGCTGGCTTCCCGGCCAATCAGGAAGCCGGGCTGGCTTTCTGATTGCCCAGGAAGTCGGCTCGATGTTCCCTCGCAGCACTGCCGGTCAGAGGAAATCTCCCTCTGACAGGAAGTTCCGGTATCAGGATAAGTATCAGAGCATTTGGGCGAATACGAGTATTCGCACAAATACTCAGTATCGGCACCGATGTTAGTATCGGTATTGGTGCATCCCTAATTTTGAAAAATTTACATAATGTGTATTTAAAGAACAAAAAAATGTGTTTAGATTGAAAGAAGGATTTTTTTTTTGCTGCCTGTATCCAGCCAGTGAGATTTACCCTTACTTTCTGTCCTAAAGACACAACAAAAAAAAGGGTGTGATCTCTCCAAAGTGAGAGGTTTTGTGCTCTTAAACTGTTGATACCAAAACAGGTTTCAACTCAAAATTTTGGATTTCCCATCACTTGCTGTACAATAGACAAGAGTTAACAAGACCAATAGAGAAGGGCAGGGATATAGACAGCAATACAACCTTAACAAGTGTTTTAACCCTTCCCCCTTCCATCCACAACTAAAAAAGTCTGATTACTGTATATTAACTATCCAGCTACTCATCAAATTGGCCTTTTAATACAATGGTCTATTCATCCTTTTGTTAATTTAGATTTGCTCAGCACAGAGTGCAGTGTTTTGGGTCCCAAGAAGTCCTGGAAGTGGCAGAGCAGGATAAGAAGAGGAAGTGCTACGTCTAGAAGAAAGGGGGGGATGGGGCTGACGGAGACAGAGGCAGTGTAAGGCCTGGAGGAATGTGCAGTGACATCCCCCTTGGGATGCAGATTGATCAGAAAGAGCGGTCAGGTCATGGGATACACTACAAAGTAAAGTGTTCCCCAACTAATAATTACTTTGCTTAATAGGAAAGAATTACAATTTTTTCACATGTAGACATACAGTATATAAGAGCCACTTACTTTGTTTATTAACTGCTGTTGTGCTGGCATGACTGCATTATATTGCATCTGATTCATACAGGATGGCTGGGGTTCCGGGAGGCACTGATACATCGATACAGCACCAGAGTAGCAAGGCTGGGTATTCATTATAACTGTCTGTGCATTTACACCACAGTCTTGCATTTCAGGAGTCTGTGATAAACATTCTATAAGCCCATCCAGGTTTGCGGGTGCAGGAAACACTGGCTGCTCCACATTTGCAAGATCAAAGTCCATTTGCGTAACATTTGATGGCAGTGGCCCTGAGGGCATGGTCTCCTGATAAGGCATATATTCCTGTTTGCAAGCATATGGAACACTGGTGATTTCAGATTTATAATAGTCTGGGGCTACATTGTTGAGTCTAGGAACATACTGCTCAGTTCGCTGATCCCGATATGTTAGAGGGACACAATTTACAGAATTCCAGTTCGTTAAAATACCATTGACTTGCATGTGTTTCATTTTTTGACACAGCTGCTGTGGGATCATTTGGTTAGGCTGTTGTGGACGCATTTGTGCTGTGTTGAGGCTGCTTTGTACTACATTGTTGGAGTCCTGTATGCAAGGTATTTGCTGAACAGAGTTTATGAACATGCAATCCGATTTCTTGTTTAGAGAATCCTGAACATAATTTAAAATTTCATCTGCCACATCGATTTCCCCGATGTCTGGATATTCAAATTCATTTCTGAAAAACTCTTCATCTTGCTGCATCATCTCCAGGTCATCAAAATCGATCCCTAGGCTCCTCATAATATTATAAAGCTCACTGTTTTTGCCCTCAGCGAAGACGTCTGTATGTTCTGATGACAGTGTTGCATCCTTTCCCCGAGAAAAGGCTGCATCCCCTTGCTTCATATTGCTGTTGGCCACAGGTAGCCGATTGTCTTGCCAGCCACTGGGAAAGCTGCTGCTCAGCTCATTTCTGCTATCTTTGAAAATGTCAAACGAAAAAGTATTTGGAGCTGGAGGATAAATGTACACAGACTCATCCTGCTGTCTCAGCATGGCACCCAAAAGGGAGGCAGGATTGACAGGTTGCTCATTTGCTGTTACTTTGGCAGAGGAGCCTTTACTTGACGAACTTTTAGGTTTATTTTGTGAGGGGCCCAATATGCTTTGCAAGGGAAATGAGCTCTCATACAACAACGCCTCACCAGTTGCAAAAATGAAAGGCAGCTGTGTGTTTCGCTTTCTTAAGTGCTCTGCTCCTTCTTCCTCTCTGAAAACAAAAACAAACAAATGGCATGCTGAGAATGTAAAATGAACTTTAAGAAAAATGTGCTTTTAGCAAATTGATTATGGAAGACTCTCATACTTGGATGTATACTACTTTTTCAATGTTGATATACATAATAAACTATGTTCAATATGGTTACCTGCTGCAGCATGGTATATGACATGTCTTAAAGCCCATTTCCACCTTTGCGGAGGTATTTAAAAATAAAAAAAATGTGCCGGCCATGTATATGGAGTGTATAAAGCAGGAATAGGCAGTTGATGTGTATGAACACAGAAACTTGTGTGTTTTATTTGCTTTCCTCTTTATATCCCCATTGAAATGACCGTCTCTATTTTGCAAGCAATCTGTCTATATTACAACTGACTTTTTCTGACCTTTCAACCCCCATTCATTAGTATTCATAGTGGCAGACCCCCTGGACAGTGTATTGGGTGTAAAGGCAGAGCTAGTGTTTAGTGACCCTGTTACACAGAATGATAGAGTGGGGGGGCAGCTGTTTACAGCATGCTTTACAATCCGACCTCGGCGTTGGACTGAATCTCCTGTGGAGAAAATTTTGAAGGATTCAGGCCTAATAAAAATCCCCATAAAAAATGCAGAAAGCCTGCAATGTGAGTCATGAAAATGTACACGCACATACATCATCACTGCACCTCTACATTACCACAATAAATGCTAATCACTTACAAAGGTGGAAATTTACTTTAAGTGCTTCTATAGATGTAGACCAACTTGGCAGGAGCAGAACACAAGATCTTTATGCAAACTGTTTTTGTCTAAACGTAAATCTAGTAACATAGTGGTCTCTTCCTGAAAGTGTTGCAAAATTAACTTATCACTACTTTGTGTGGCTCTTAATGCAAAGATGCTCACCATTACAAATGCTGCCATAGTTTATACCGCTTCCAATCCACTGACATGTGGACATGCAAAGATTCCCAAAGTTTACCGCTCTGACTGTTGTTGGCAATCTTACAATGTAAAAGTCAATTCTACCATGTACAGATCTGGGAAGGTTAGCGATGCACTTAAATTACACTCACTGCTTAAAAGGGCTACCAGCAGTGTTTACATCTAAAGTAGGAGATGGCCCAAAAGAAATCTATGCTGAAATCTCCAACACTCCTAGAGAATAAAGGGCAGGCTGTAGGTGCCAAACATCCAACTGTACATAGACAGGGAAAAGGTGTTGAAGGAATATACACAATATACTTCGTCCGTAATGTTAAAAGCGTTCCTTATGCTATCCAAAATATTTCCTGCAAATGTGGGTGTCCTTCCTTTAAATAATTCAGTACATAAGAGGTTATTCAAAATCACTAACAAACTGTGTTCCTGAATATGGACAGCACTGTGGCATAGTGGTTACTGCTTCGATTGTAAGCTCTTTTAGGGCACGAACTGATGTGAATGTGTACTGTGTAAAGCGCTGCGTAATTGTCGGTGCTATAAAAATACATTTAATAAATAAATATGGACCAGAAGTTTAAAGCCCACAATTGTAATGATGAAGTAGGTGCCTGCATGCACAGTTAGGATCTTACATAGATTGCACAAGGTTCCCTTAATCACTGAGTGCTCCGGAACACTGTTTTCAACTAGCTCCACCCCTCCTGCACAATACTATCTCCCTATTACTGTAAAGGGAATTCTCACTGGTCAATAGTTATAAGCAGGTGCCAGAGAACCGATTTCAAGGGACCAGGGGCACTCACAATACAAGTGAAAATTTAACACCTACAACATTGAAAAGTTAAAATATTATAAGTACAGCAGTTCTTTAAAGACTGTAACTGATAAGAATGCAGTACAGCTTTCTGAAGATACTTGGCCTGCATTAATGACACTTTAATCCAGTCACATATAGCCTGACACTTCCAAGTGATATTACCAACTGAAGCATAGCTTGGGGAGGGTGCGGGCCAACTGCAGAGTGTTAATGAGAGCGTGCAATTGTCTGAAGTACTTATTACTGTACAAAGAATTTACACTAAGTTGCATAATGTGATATTTCATCATAGAAAAGCGAATAATCTCTGTATGCTTGTTGCTTATAAATATGGCTACATTTTAGATGAAGGAGCTCTGGTAGATCTCTGACCACCTGTTATTCTCAATAAGAGATATGCTCATATGGTCAGACTTATTTGGTAAGTGCAAAGATAAAATAATTATGTGCAACTTTTAAGATGTCATTTCAGTTTAGTGAGGTGTATGAAGAATGCTGGTTATTTACTGCACACAGATTTTGCTGCAGCACACTGTTCTGGTTGGTGTTTGCTGAACATGATAACAGATGACTTGAGCTAGGCATTACTTATTAGCCAGGGCATAACATTTAACAAGAACTTTCTCTTATTAGTCTACAGAGCTGCAGAAGTCCCACATGGTATGAAATGCTGGAGACAACGCTGCCAAATATCTCAAGAAACAAGAACTCACGTCAGAGGTCTTTGTGTTGCAATGATGTAATCTGGTCGCCCATTCTTATATACGAGACGTGCATTTGCTTGTACCCAGATCCATATGTTATTTTTTCCGAGAAGTCTGAACACAGTCATACCACTCTCTCCAGTCTTGATCACTGCAATCAAAGAAATAAACTGCATTGGCAATCTTAATAAAAAAAGGAGTATGCATTAGGAAACAAATTTGCAAATAACAGTACAATCCATATTTATGAACAAAACATAAAAAAAACATGGTACTGTAAATCGCCTTCCACTGACTAATCTTCTGTCTTTTTTTCAGAACACCAAATATTATTTTTGCATTATCTTTAAGAACACACACTACATTCCCTCCCTGATAAAGTTCATAGCTGTCATAATATCAACACCCGTTATTAATCTATCCTGTATTGACACATTCCCATGTGACCTGAAAAGTGCAACTTTGCCTGTGTTTAAACCTATCTAGCCAGATCAATTTTTCAACTTGAGCAAAGCAAACTGTATAATTTAGTACTGTGATGCAATAAAGCTTTAACTAAATTTCTAAAATGTTACACTGACAATATTTTAAACTATCCGATTGTTTTAAAGGAGAACTATGGGGTTAAGGCTTTTCCCCATAGTTCTCCTTAGGGTAACGGGAGGACACAAACTAGCGTCCTCCCGTCACCCTAGGCTCAGTATACCGCAAGCTGTAGCTCGCGGTATACTGAGACGTTGCAGTGTACCGCGAGCTGCTGAAGCGCATCCCGACAATTGTGCCAGGATCCGCCCAGCTGCGTGACTGACAGCTGGCTCTGCCTATCTAGAGGCAGAGCCAGCTGTACCCGCCCCCTCCCCCGTCCGTTCCGCCAGTCAGCGCTGGCGGATCGGAGCGGGGGGAGGGGGAATCCAGCCCCTCCCCTGTCACGGCAGAGAGCCGTGACAGGATCGAGAGGTGAGCAAACGCCGGTATGTGTTCGCTCACCTCCCGAGCTACTGAGCCGACCTGTGACAGTCTCATTGTCACAGGTCGGCTAGAACTGAGGTGAGTGAAAAGCACACACTTTACTGTAATCTAGTGACAGATATTAATGGCAATATGCTAACTTAGCAATTTAGAGTGGGTGTACCCATTATCTGAGCACTAATTTTATCAAAGGGCAAGGCGTTTGATGTCTTTGAATAAGGTGCTGTTTATATATATATAAATATATACACACTGTATATATATATTTTTTTTTATAATTGCCCCCAACCTCCTATATTAAAAACGTGTTGCCAAGTTCTACTTGACCTGTCCACACTCCAGCACTGTCCCTGAATTCCTCCTTTATCCCGAGGCCATAGTGCTGTTCAGATAGAACAAGTTACATGCCCCCTGGGGATCACGTTATCATGCAGGATGGGATCACAACACTCCAGGAAAGAGCGATGCTAACATTAGTGCTCATTTTGCCTAGTCCAAGGGGAATGAAAGCCCAATGCCCACTAAGAAAGAAGAAAAACCTTCTGTAACGTCACTGGGCGTAGCAAGAAGACTGCTGTGAAAATGGTATGTAGTTTTTTTTTTATAGATTGGGGGGAGGGGTGCATTTAGATGGGAACAAGTCCATGCTGGAGGGCTGAATTTTCATTTACATAAAAACTATAGCCTAAAATATTTAAATCACTACTCCCATGGCAAGAGTTGTTATCCTAAACTGCATGGGCAAACAGGATTCTATGGTTTATTATCCTCTTTTTAACCCCTTAGTGACACAGCTTCAGAAAATGTTTTCGTTCCTGGGGACCGGAGCGATCTTGCCATTTTTGCAATTGTCCCCAGTAATGAATGAACAAGAAGTGCTTTACATAATTTCCTGTTCATTCAATACTTTTTCAATGGGGAGAAGCACTCGCTACAGAGGCTTCCCCCAATTCAGAAACTGGTTAATGGTAAATATTTTCTGAATGAATGGGAAGCCTCTGTATGGAGTGCTTTCCATTCATTTAGAACAGAGGCTGCAGAAAAAGAGATTGAGAACTCCCCCTGTTTCCTCAATTTCTATTTTAAAAAGGAAATGTCCGGAGTCTGTTTAGACCCCTGATACTTTCCCAAAGCCCCCCAATAGTAAAAAAATTATCCCCCAAAGTAAAAAAAATTAAAAAACCCCCCCCCCCCCCCACAATATACATGTGCAACAGTGTGCAGCATATTGTGGTGTACGCCATGCACATGCGCTACGTTGTTAGAACGCATTGCAGTGCTTGATTTTTTCTGTTTTTAATAACATTATTTTAACTATGGCAGCCAATGGCAAAGCGTTGTGACGCATTCCCATGCATTGAGATACACTGTGTTGCGATTAAATGTAAGCCTGCATCATTTTATCACAACACAAACACCAACACAGTGCACAAACAATTTTTAGCATAAGTCGCCTAATTACAGTTTTGCATTTGTTAATTTTTTTACCGTTTCGCAATAAGGCAAAATGTAAAAATCTTTGTTATTTATTAAGGCCTGGTTCACACCTGGGCACTTTACAGTGCGTTCCTACGCTCTGTAAAACGCTCAACATGTGAAAACCAATGATTGCCTATGGGCATAGTTCCCACCTGGGCGTTTTACAGCGCGTAGGTCACATCTCTAGGTCACATCTCTTGCCTTGAAGAAGGGACCCTGTGTGGCCCCGAAACGTCAGCTCATGTTGGATTTCTGTGACATCATTGTCCATTAAAAGGACTCATTCATTTTAACTTATGGAGTGCTGGTGACCTATTTTCTTCAATCTTGTGTTTTGCACGGTGCCATCCGTGAAGTTACTTCGAGCACCATTCATTTGATTGTTGGCCGGGACTGCTGAAAGGTGTGCGGAGGGCACCTCCATCAATTACAGCGCGTAGGAATGCGCTGCAAAACGCCCTACGCCCAAAGAAGGACAGGAGCTTCTTTGGGGCCTATTTTCCGCACGTATCCATTGGGATACAGCCGGATACCCCTCTGAAACGCGCGTTTGTCGTGCGTTTTTTTTACTGCGAATCGCGATACGCCTAGGTGTGAACCCAGCCTAACTCCATACAGTTTTATCTTTTAGATTTAGTCGGAAAGGTATTTGTTTGTGCACTGATACTGATTTTAGTGGGCTTTTATAAATGTAATTGTGTTTGTTTATCGGTTTAATATTGATTTGACAAACATTTGCAGGACCTACAAAGATAGTAGCACCATCTTTTTATTCTATCGGGCCTGTGCTTTCAGAAAAAAAATGGTTGGGGGTGTGGGGGAGGGAGAGTCTTTTACAAATGCTAGCAACGCAGCAATAGAAAATCAAAACAATGGGAAAAATTGCAAAAATGGTCTGGCCAGCTGAGGTGTAAAGCTGGAGGGGTTGGCAGCGAAAGGGGTAATATAGAAACAAATATTGTGTGTGAGTAGCAATAGTTTAATTAACTATCAATGCAGACAACATCTCATCCAGGCATGAAAAATAATGACTTAAAAGGCAGTTTATTTTCTGTGTCTTACTTCGCACATGATTCTCTGCACAATACAACATATCTGCAGCATGAATAAATTGATATCCAGTTCCTCTAACGCACAATTCTGCTTCTGTGTAACCGAGCACCACACTTCCTCTGTGGAGAAAATGGAAACAATGTTAATATGCACCAATAAATAAAGGAAGGACAAAAACTATACAGTTTCAAAAGCAATGGGATGTAGCTATATATAAAACCGAGAACGTTAGTGTAAATAAAACAGCCCAACCACACTTTAAAATGTTCGGCCATATCTACCCATCCCTGTAATCAAATTATTTATCTGTGTTTTCTTTACTAAATATTCTTATGTGGAACTAGAGGTCTGCGCACCTCAAATCAAATTTGCTCCCAGTCGCATGTGGTTAGCCTCTATACCACCAAGTGTCTCGTCAGTCAATGTCAGCCAAGAACAAGGCTTTATATGCCCTGCCTCAGACAGGAGAGGGACAAGGCACCATAGTGGCCTAATTGGCTGCTGAGTCATAAGTGTAGTGATTTAAAGAAAACATCTTCGTATCTTACTTTGCATCACACCCTATTGGGGTGAAGTCTAGTCTGTGCTTTGTTCTGAAGATAAAGTTTTTGGTTCGGATCTCCAATATGGACGGTGATTGCAGCGGTGTAGCCAGGGCAAAGAGTGCAAGCTGAGGAGGAACTGGTGCCCCGTCTTTCCCTTTCTTGTTCTGTCCATGGAGATATTTCAGGCGTCCTTGAAAATTCATAGCCTGGAGCAAAACATATAAGAATATACTTATTATTACGGGAAACACGGTGAGGCTCATGAACAGTAATTTTATTTTACCCATTTCCTGTGAACCGTTTGGCAATTAAAGAAAAAGCAGAGATGTCATAGATGGTCTGAAAAGCATATTCACAGATTTTTGCATACTGGGTAATACATTTAGAGTTTGCTATTTTAAGAAAAAAAAAGGATTTAATTTATAAGTTATATGTAATCCTTCCACGGGAATAATGTGGAAGTTTCCAATTCTAGAAAGAAAAGCAGAAGTCATACAATGCAATGCAAAGTCATCAGGCTGCATCAAGGAAATGCTGGAAAAACAACATATAATACTAAAGCAGAACTAAACCCACCAATTTCAAACATCTACTTTCAGGGCATGCCTCTTGTAGTTACTGTCACAGCTGTCACTGTACTCACGTTGGCTCTTAACTGAACTTTCAAGCCCTCAAATGGCTGGTGTCCTAGCTGATCACATGTGCAACATTATGACAACTACAGATCTAAATAGAGGCTTAGATGGTACCATCTTTGGCTGTATAGGATAGTTTAGTTCCACTTTAATAATGAAAACTTTTTTTTTTTTAACCAAAAGATGACATGAACTGTTTACATATTTCTGTAATAAAGTGTTATTCTATGATTTGTTTGGGGGTAGAATTGGAGAGTTTGCATACCAAAAACCCAGAGGAATTGTCTAAAAGACATCTTAGCCTGCAGACAAAGTTCCTTTCCATGAAGGATGAATTCTCAGGCGGAAGTTGGTCAGGATTATACAAGTTTGTTATCACTGGGAATCCATTGTCTCCTGGGCAGAAGAAAAAGAAAAGATCAATATGGCGTCTAGACAACATATATATATTTACAACATTGCACTCTATACAAGGTCAGTCATGACTTCATCTAACAAGCACTTAACAGAATGTTGGGAGGAAGCTGCTGACATGCAAATTAGAAGATTTAAACCAATCACAAACTAATTTGTCCATCCTTTAGCTTCCTATAAGAAGCAATGAAAGCCATGCTGTGGCTGCACACATCCAATCCTTTGACAGCAATTGACAAATTGAGCAGGGGGAGTGGCCACACACAGATCTTTTTATCACTCCTTCCACATGTGCATAACCAAAGCATTTTTAACTTAACATCAAAAACATGTTTTACTGCAGTTCTTTAAATGTTGCCCCTAAAGGAAATTTGTGCTTAACTCTGCTTAACTTAAGCCTGAGGTCACTTTCTAGTAGGTGGGCTAGTGCAGTATTGCAGCTCGAGAATGTGTATTTACTTTTTTAACTTTATTGGTAGTGCACAATGTGTACACTTTATTCAAGTCCCCGCACAGTAGAACGGTGTGATGGCATCCAGTTTGCTGCGGAAAAACGCACCATGTGGCATTTTTTCGCAGTGCAGCATCCATCACACTCCTGTGTTGTGGTTTAAACAGGGGACATACAAAACATTGGTTTTCTATGTGTCTTAGTGGTGACCTGGGTTGATCTGGTGCGGTAAAACACCGATCACTGCTGTATGTGTGAAGAGACCCTTAAAGATCTCTCCAACAGAGGGCATTGTACATGAGGATATAAAAATGTGTAGCAGAAGTAAATAGGTTGTTAACCTCTCCTACGCATTCCAGTTGCCTGGATGTCATGTAGTTCCCAAGGCTTCAATGCTTTCTGAGTCACTCATCCAGAAAACGTTTACAGATCAGGAGTTGTGACATGGGTTGATGGCATCTGTAGTCTTCTATTGCTGGTTGCCATTCTCCATTGCTTTCTAATCATGGATTGATGGCATCTGTAGTCTTCTATTGCTGGATGCCATTCTACATTGCTGAATAATCATGGATTGAGTTATAGTTCTTCATAATTATAAAGAAACGGCCCCAAAATCATTAATCTGTATTGTTTTAGAAAAAAAGGGACATGTGGTTATGTGTAGGATGTACAGCTAGAGGTGAAGAGTGTAGAGTGTACTGATCAAGAACTATAGATAGATTCCTACAAATCTGATAATTTGTATAACTATGAGCAAGCAATGCCAATGGTGAACAGCCATTGACCCATTCTTACAGTGAATCTTTTGTGGCAGAACACATCTACACAGTTTCCATGAACTTAACCTCAACCTTTAGATTTGGGTATTTTGTTCACACATGTGGCCATGTAGACCTAAGCAAATCATTTTGTGATTTATATTTTTTTAAAGAACAAATATGCCTAAACAAGCTCACCACACAATTAAGAGTAATTTAGTTACCATAAACAAGCAGTACTCAGTAAAAATATTTATGCAGTTTAATGCACACTAAATTCCATACAAATATGGCTTAATACTATCATCTGCAGCCCATTTGATTAATGCCTAGAAGTCGTCTGAAACTCTCTAAAAATGTCCATGTTCACATTTCAACCAGATATTTCTCTACTGTAAAAACAACCAAGTATAATGTAGAAATATAGACAGACATCAGTTCATTGTGTAAACTCTATTTCCTGGCTCACCTCATGTCGGCATACTAATGGGTTAACCCCGCCCCTGGCTACCTATAGGACCACCCCTAACTAGAGTATAAATCCCCCCTCTCCCACCTCATACGTGTTCTTTTTTGTCCTCGCTCAGGACACCTTCTAATAGTTTTTTTTTGTATTCCCCTTTGTCTCTAGTTAGAAAAGTTTCCGGAGGATTTCGACCAGTTCTGGACCTGAAAAGGGTGAATCGATTTGTCAGAGTGGAGAGTTTCCGCATGGAGTCGGTAGAGACCATAAAGGCACCAGTGAGACCAGGAGATTGGATGCTCACGGTGGACTTGAAGGATGCTTACTTCCATGTCCCACTTGAAAGCGGCCACCAGAAGTACCTACGGTTCGCTGTGGGTCGCAACCATTACCAGTTCCGATGCCTTCCATTCGGCCTGTCCTCAGCACCAAGAACCTTTTCAAAGGTGTTTGTGTCAGTGATCGCGCTTTAAGTCTAAAAAACTTGAGGATTTTCCATTATCTGGACGATGTCCTTCTGTTGGCTCAGTCGCAGCAACAGATTGTGCAGCACCGACGCCTGGTACTGAGAACATTCCGACAGTATGGCTGGTTGGTGAACTGGCAGAAGATATGGAACAAATATGTGGAAGCGCACCACTGTGATGTGGTCAGATCTCTCACTCGTTGGCTATGTGGGAGCTGGTGTGCATAAACTCTTCAAAAAAACGGGAGAGGAGCCCCGTGTAGCATATTGCTCAAAACACAGTGTATAGAAGAGTGCAACTACCTCAATGACTGAATAAATAGATGGATAGATGAATGCTGTACAACCTGCTATAACTGGCTGAATAATAAGGATTGAAGTGGTAGATGAGTGACTTACAGTTAGGATGTCATCGGTGGGCATCCGAAGTCCCTGCAATCACGTGAGGGTGACGATACTGGTCTGTATACCACCGGTCTGGAGTGTCCAGGTTATCCCCGTGGTATCCCCAGAAACCGCGTCATCGGCTGGCCAGGCCGAGCGGCAGCAGCTGGAGCAGGAAAAGAAAACCTTGCCCGGCAGTGGAAAACTACTACCACTTCAATCCTTATTCCAGAATGGGGGATGCCTCGAATAGATCTCATGGCAGCCAGGTGCAACTCTCAGCTCCTGAAGTTTTACTCCCGCTACTTTTGCCAGGAGGCACTAGGTCAGGATGCACTATCCCTCCCTTGGCAGTTCGACAGTGTGTACGTCTTTCCTCCCACTCCATTGATTCTACGGACACTTCAGAAGACAGACAGGGAAGGAGTTCTAGCGATTGTTGTCCTGCCTTGTTGGCCGAAGAGGCCATGGTTTCCCCTGCTCATGGAGCTTTTGGTAGAAGCACCAAGATCTCTGCCCCTGGGGAGGGACCGTCTCTTCCAGGGCGAATGTCACCATCCGAATGTGGCACGCCTACATTTGATGGTCTGCAGATTGAGAGGCAGAGGCTACAGAGCTTACAGCTCTCCGCTTCAGTGGTGGAGACCATGTTGAAAGCTACTAAGCCATCTACTAAGACAACTTACCATCGAGTTTGGAAGAAGTTCCTTACCATGGCAGCACAGAGAGGGTGGCAGCCAGAAACACCGACAGTGGGAGACATCCTGGATTTTCTGCAGTCGGCTCTCGACGAAGGATTAGGTTATAATACGATTCGAGTTCAGGTGTCAGCCTTGTCGGCATTGACTGAGTGTCGTTGGGCTAATAATGCTTTTGTCAGACAATTCTTGCAAGCGGCCATGAAGTTGAGGCCTTCAGTGAGACCGCTGTTTCCAAAATGGGATCTGCCATTGGTGCTGAGAGCTTTCTGTATCATCCACCCTCCTGTCAGTTTTCATCACAGCAATTGTCTCCGCCAGAAGGGTGTCGGAGCTGCAAGCCTTTTCCTGCAAAGAAACTTATTGCCAGGTCTTTCCAGAATGGATAGTGTTGCGGCCTGTTCCATCATTTTTACCAAAAGTTTCCTCGGTGTTCCATTTCAATTGGGAATCGGTCCTCCCAGTCCTTCCAGGTACTGTACTGCCCGCGGAGGAGGAGTATCTTGGGAGATAAGATGTGGTCAGCATACTTTCCACTTACTTGCTACGGACAGAGAGTTTTCGTTCCACTGATAGACTCTTTGTCATGCCCGGAGGTCCGAGAAAGGGAGCGGCCGCTTCCACAAGGATCTTATCCACATGGGTGGTGAGGATTGTCCAATTTGGCAACGGGTCTTCCCCCTCCGCAAGAGATCAGGGCTTATTCTACAAGGTCGCTGGCTACGTCTTGGGCAGCCTACGCTAAAGTCCCGGTAGAGGTCGTCTGCAAGGCGGCGAGTTGGTCGTCCTCTTATACTTTCATTAGACATTACAATGTTGATGTGTCTAGCTCTGCGGATTCAGCCTTTGGGGCATCTGTACTCTCTTCTGCGGCTTCTGCAACTAATTCAAGTTATTTTGCCTTGAGTCCCTCCCGTGTTGGTGTTGCTAGCTATGTTCCATTAGTATGCCGACATGAGGTGAGCAAGGAATACGGAAAATTGTTATCAAATACTTACCGTAATTTTCCTTTCCTGGCTCTCCTCATGTCGGCATAACTTCCCTCCCATGCCTTCGCTCGGTGTGCTATTGAACACGTATGAGGTGGGAGAGGGGGGATTTATACTCTAGTAAGGGGTGGTCCTATAGGTAGCCAGGGGCGGGGTTAACCCATTAGTATGCGGACATGAAGAGAGCAAGGAAAGGAAAATTACGGTAAGTATTTGATAACAATTTTCCGTAATATAGATAAATTATACTAGGGCTGCAACTCATTTTTATTTTCATAATCGATTAGTTGGCCGATAATTTTTTCGATTAATCAGATAAAAAATAAATATATACTATCCTTAATTTAAAATACACAAATGCCATGTTACAAATATAAAGTTTACTTCAGAATAAAACTGCATGCACAATTTTTTGCAATCGCACTGCACTGGAATGCACGACATTGCAGTTCCGTGCGTTCCAGTGCTGGTGATCACACTGTGGGTGGGAGACACGCTTGGGGTCCCATTACAAAGAATGGCACTTCAACGTACCTCCCCAAGCAGAATGTGTCAGGCCCTTTTTCCCACCTTTTATCATTTTCTTTCAATAATTATATTGTGAGCACATGGCACTTGAATAGCTTTAGCCAGGGAATGAAAGCTGCCAGTGGCAGGATTCCGCAAACGGCAGCTGAATGCAAATACAGCAGGTAGTGGGCTGGAGCAATAGCCAGCCTGCTATTGGCCATTTTAAATTGCAACAGCCAGTAGCAGGCTGGCTATTGCACCAGCCCACTGCTTGCTTGCCCTCCTCCCAGCGTGGAGGAGAGAGTAAGGGGATCCAACCAACTAATCAATAATGAGAATAGTTGACAACTATTCTCATTATGGATTAATATTGATCGATTAGTTGGTTGCAGCCATAAATTATAATGGGATCATTTTAACAGGGATATACATGCCATTAATTTTTGGGTGAAGCGTTTACAACTGTATGAAGTTGCTATTGCCGACTACAATCCATTCTGCCTAATCCCACTAGCCAAATTACATGTTTTGACCTGGCCGGGTCTTTGTCAAGTTCAACTTGTGATTTTATGCAAGCCTCAGATTACATAACCAAGATTACATGAAGGGAATTACTTCAGTTTGGTTTTGTTGCATATCATTACACAAATTTGCATAGAGGCTTTCATGTCATTCAACTGGCGCACAATACTTCCAATACTGTGAGTATGTTCCACTCCCTTTTAATAAAGGTGCTTTCCCTAAAAACTGCATTTCCTTCAAATCTTACAAAGTATGAATTATAAAAGCACAGTATCTCACACCCAGACTCATTTAAACATATAGAGGGAAATTTATCAAAACTGGGGCAGACAGAATCTGGAGCAGCTGTGTATAGCAACCAATCAGCATCTCTCTTTCATTTTCAATCCTTAACTGAACAGACTGAAGAGAGAAGCTGATTGGTTACCATGGTCAACTTCTATAGATTTTGTCTGCTCCAGTTTTGATAAATTCCCCCCATCGTGCTTGTGGAAAACCACTTGAAAGATGGGGTGACGTCTGTACCTGTGGAACTCTGCGACTCTGCTGACGGTTGAACAGGGTCCAATGCCCAGTGCAGCTGACGTTGAAATTCGGGTCGATCTTCTGTGTGAATCAGCTCAAAAACACTTTGGTGAATTACATCGGACTACAAGAAAACAAAATTAAAAACACATTTCATTAGATTGGTGCTGTATTAAAAAGAGAAACAAATTACAAGAATTTAATTACTGGGTGAACAGTAATAAGGTAACACCTGTCGAAGTTATACTCAGTCCTGCAGGACTGCTACATTGAAATTCACAGTTTTCTTATGTGAACATGAACCGCAGCACTCAGGGAAAGGAGGAGACATCCTAGTAGCGGGGCTGTATTTTCCAAACAATCAGAGGTTTAGGCCCAGGCACAAGCATGTCAGTATGTTCCAATATACTGCATTGTAATGCACTGGTAGCATGATGGTGGAAGGAAGGTGATTCTACGTCGGATTTTAAGAATATATTTTAAACCTGAATGCTAGGCACAAAAACTTTTCATAATGGTGCTCTACCTAACCTGATCAGGCTGTGGGAGGGACTCAGCAGGCCCCAACCAGTTTTAACAAAAAAAGTCTGTTAAATTAAAGACAAGCTGCAACTAATTTTACTTTTTTTTCCTGGTGTTACAAGTTTTTAAACTGTTGTATAATATCTGCTTTTACTATATACAAACTTTGTTTAAGTAGGTTAAGCTGACCATAGATGGCTCGAATTTCGGCCGATTTCTGCTAAATTGGATACCATTTATTTATAAGCCAGTGCTGTGAGGGTTTACCTGAATAAAATGTTTTACATGTAAGAAGGAAACTAGAGTTATATCTGTTGGATGGATAAAGGATTACATACTATCAATATGCAATATCTCATATATAAAAGGGGAAAAACAATTAAAAATTACCTGACCATAATAAATAAAGAACACATGTACAAAACCACTATACATTTTCTTTTAGGGGAGGGACTCTTCACAACCTAAAGAGTTATCCTGAAAACAAAAAATGGTGTTACTTCCTGAAACATTCAGGTTTACATGCTTTCCCTCACTCTTTCCTATATGCTTGTGTAGTTTATCCAAGCTGTGAAGCCGTAAACCTGAATGACCCGTTTCTTGCTTTTCAGCTTCTTTGAGAGCATGTAGCTTAGAGGTGATCTATAAGTGCTGACACAGAGAGACCTCAACAGATCAAGAAAATCTCAAGCTGAGAGACTGAAAAGAGGCACAAAATACAATTAGGGCTTACTAGGAGTTAGAAAACATAAACCCTGATCCTTTGACAGCATGGAAGTAAAGGAAAATGGCCTTTTGTTTCAAATAGGTTTTTATTAAGATTTTACATAGGTACAATAGGGATAAACATAGGTGCTGTCAACCCACAAACGGGTCATGTGTTGTATCATACAATCAATGCTTTAAAATCTTGGATCCCAATAGGGAAGGATCTGATGGGAAAGTAAGAGGTATGGGGTAAGGGAAGAGAAGGGGGGTTAGGGAGTAAGTGCCATCAGTGTTCCTTTTTGGCCAAGATGTTCCAGGGATATAATTCGGGCCTCATCTGATTTTCCCGGTCTACTGCGGCATATCACCAAGGTAATCTGAGGTAGTAGTGTATTGAGGTATCCTGAACGAGTAGTGTATCAGCTCAGAAAGTGCATCATATCGGTAGCTGGTACCTTGGTGTCGCTTTTCGGAACGGTCAAGAGTCTCGGAAGTTGAGGTCAGTTTGGTGTGTAGAGTTGGAAGTAGAGGACAGAAGGAAGGCAGTAGGGGGGTATAGGGAAGGGGTTGGGTTAGGGGCTTGAGATGAGAGTATGGGGGATTCGACGTAGAATTGTGTCCGACCTGAAGGTGGCTCAATAAAGGGTGGTAAGGTCAGTTGTCGTGGCAAAGTAGGTCCAGCAAGTCCACATCGATCTGAAATGATCCAATGTGTCTTGTTTGGTGGACCTGAGCAAGCCATTCGCGGATTGTGGGGACGTGGTACATCTGCCAATGGCGAGGGATGATCGTGCGAGCACCATTAATGAGGTGTCTGTGCAGTGATTTGAATGCGCCTGTTGGTTTGTTTGGAAAAAAGAAAAGGCTAGTTGCACTCCTTACCGGTATGACCCAGTGATCGGGGAGGGGTGCTCGGAATGACTGCGGATGGCGCCGCCAAATACAGATAATTGCAGAAACGTCACCAGCACACCAAATCCTTATAGGATCAAAGTTCGTAGATTTTATTGCAAACTCATGGCAGTTACACAAGCGCTTTCGGTTTGGTTTGTTTGGTTCCCAGTGGAGAAGGGAATGCGTAGGTGTGTAGGTAAGTGTGGCTCCTGTGATCTTACGGATTGCCTCGTATACTTTTCACCAGAAGGGTTGTATTTGGGGGCAGGACCAAAAAATATGTATAAGGGTGCCATCGTCTGTGTGACATCTCCAGCACAACAGGGATATGGTTGGATGCGTGTAAATGGGGAGTTCTGTACCAAGACACTAGTAGTTTGTAATTTGTTTCCTGCATTCTGCTGTTAAATGCACATTTGTGGACTGTTGAGCAAATGTCTGACCATGTGTCGTCAGGGATCGTGGTTTGGAGATTTCGTTCCCATTTAGTACGTGGGTGGGTTCCTTGTGTAAGGAGGTCACTCTGGAGTAGTGTATATAGCCAGGAGATTAGATGTCTGGTCGGGCCTTTGCCTGGGCAGAGCATCTCAAATGGGGTAAGGGCTCTAGAGGCAGAGGTTATATGCGTGGGGTCCATTAAAAAGTGTCTGATTTGAAAGTAGACCCACCAGGGTAGTGATCCCCGTGTGGTGAGGTCTGCGAAATCGTTTTTAGGTGTGAATGTTTGGGATCTGAAAAAGAGATGTGCTCGTAGGGGGGGGGTTCCTGGGACCAGTGGGAAATGAAGTCTCTTGTGACACCTGGAGGAAAGTCTCGGTTACGCATCAAGGGTTCCATAGGGCTATGCAGGGAGGTAAGGGCTTCACGACGTCTGGTAGAAGAAAAAAACCTCAAGGGTTGCCCCTAAGAGTGGGTGGGTTCGTATCGTTATTGGCCACAGTGCGGTTCTGAGCCATATCAACGAGGAGAGGGAGATGTCAGACATGTCGTCTTCCAAAGATGCCCACAGTTTAGTGTCAGTGTGGAGGTGCCAATGTAGGATTCTGGTGAGATGCGTCGCCTTGAAGTACCGATATAGATCTGGGATCCCTAGGCCGTCTTTGTGCAATTTAGTAGGGGCCAAGGTATGTGGGGACGCCCGTCTTGCCACACAAAGGCGGAAAAGGCGGTGTCCAAAGCTCAGAAGAATGAGCACGGTAGTTTGATGGGAATGGTTTTGGAAGTTGGTATCATAGAGTCGGGATAGGTTTTTATTCCTAGGTATGGTATGTATTCAGAGCACCAGAGGAAGGGGAAGGATGATTGAAGGTGAGTTCTAGTCCTACTTGTCGTGTTAAGGGGCATAATTTCAGATTTGGTAAAGTTTATCTTCAGGTTGGATAGTTTTGCGTATAGTTCAAAATTAGACATCTATTTCGGTAGGGAGGTTAGGGGTTCCAAAAGGAAGAATAGTAAGTCGTCTGCGTATGCCATTGTTTTGTGAGTCTTGGGACCTATTGTAACTCCTGAAATCACAGTGTCACTCTGTACTATTCTGATGAATGGTTCTAGGGCTAGTGCGAATAGGGTGGGAGATAGCGGGCAGCCCTGACGGGTCCCCGTTAGAAATTGGGAGGCTGTCTGATAGGCAGCCCATCGTTCTGACTCTCGCCTTGGGGCAGGAGTAGATTGCCCCTATCCAATGTATCATGCGATTTTGTAAGCCAATGTGCCGGAGAACCTCGAACATGAAGTCCCAGGCCGCCCTGTCGAACGACTTCTCCGCGTCTGTGGACAGCACCTGTGTCTCTAGTTTGCGTTGTTGTACCCAGTGGATGAGGTTGATAGCTCTCGTGGTGCTGTCCTTAGCTTCCCTTCCGGGGATAAATCCTACCTGGTTGGGGGTGATCAAATCGGGTAACAGCGGGAGAAGGAGGTTCGACTGGGCACGTGTGAAGATTTTCAGGTCCACATTGAGAAGTGATATGGGCCGCTGGTACAGAGCTGGGGGTCCTTCCCTTCCTTTGGGATCACTGTTATGTGGGCTTCCAAGTGTTGTGGGGGTGGGTGGATGTCGTTTTGAATGGAGTTATAGGCTGAAAGCATGTGTGGTAGTATAGTGGCCTGGAAAGACTTATAGTATTGAGACGATATGCCGTCTGGGCCTGGACTCTTGCCTGGTTTCGATTGTTTAATAGAGTTTTGGAGTTCTTCTTCCGTGAGTGGTTTGTCTAATGAAGTCAGGAGTGTCTCGTCTATAGTAGGCATATTGGCTCTCGTCAAGAATTGTCGTATGTGGCGAAGGCGATCTATATCATTGTACTTCGATTGGGCAGTTTGATTCAGGTTATAAAGTGCGGCATACTATTCCTGGAAACAGGATGCTATCTCTGGTGGTGAGTGTGTTAATTTGGAGGGGGAACTTCTGATGCTATGGATATGGGAGCTAAATTTTTTCGTACGGACCGCTCTGGCCAGGAATCTGCCGCACTTGTCACCTTCTGAGTAGTAGTGTCCTGTGCGCAGGGTGAATGTGCGTCTAATCTTGGTCGCCAGGAGGTGTAATAGTTCCTGCCTGGTTTCTGTCAGTGCGAGTAGATTGCGTTGGGCTAAGGATTCTTTGTGGTTCGTCTCTAGTTTGTGGAGTTTGGATTGGAGTGTCCGAGTCTGTGCCAATCGTGATTTCTTTAATTTCGCTGCTAGGGAAATGAGACATCCTCTGATGAAGCATTTGTGTGCTTCCCAGGTGACCATGGGGGACGTTTCGCCCGTTGCATTAAAGGTGAAATATTCCTTCAGTTCTGTGGAGAGCGTGTAAACGTTTAGTGTGTCTTTGAGTAGGGAGGAATTCAGTCTCCATGTGGATTGTCGTATGGATGGGGGGAGATAGAGAAAGTGGCTGAGACTGGTGCATGATCGGATGAAGCTATGTTCTCGATCGAGGTAGATTGGAGTCTGGGTAGGTCTGATTGGGCCACAAAAATAGTGGAGCCGTCGGATCTCCACATCTCTGGCCGCGCC